CAGGGAAGGATGGGCTTTGTAATCCGGGATTTCCCACCCTCCCAAGAAGCCAGGAGTTCTAGAATAAGCCAGAAAAGGGTGGCTTTAAGCCACCCATCGAAGCTTCCCTGTAGCGACGGCCTTCGCGCCAAGGACACAATCCGCCCGAGAACTTCAATTCTCAGGATTCTTAACCGGGGGGTTCCGAGATTGCAGATTAACTGAGTTGGAAGGGACCTCGGAGGTCATCTAGTCCAACCCCCCACCCCACCCAAGCAGGAGACCCCTGCCCCATTTCTGACAGTCCAGTCTCTTCTTGAAAGCTTCCAGGGATGAAGCTCCCGTAACTTCCGAAGGCAACTTCAGTCCCATTGAATACAGAGTTGGGAGGGACCCTGGGGGGGTCATCTAGTCCATCCCCCCCCCCGATCAAGCAGGAGACCCTATACGATTTTCTTACAGCTGCAAATCGGGGGGAACGCTCTCAATCTCTCTTCTGTTTCTTCCTTAGGGGAATAGGCAACCCCAAAACCCCACGAAGGGCTTCTCCTATACCAACCCTGCCATGGCCAACGATCAACTGTAGGGGGCGCCGTTCCTACAGCCGGACTTTGGAGGGTGGGGTGAATTGGAAAAAAAAAAAGGAACTTCAGCACTTTTCGCACCACTGAGACCCAGTGAGAAAGTGGGGTGACTTTTTTGTGGGGGGGGGGGGACACGACTTCCGAAGAGTTGCTCGCCTCCTCCGTCGACCAGGAGCAGAATTACGGATGGAGGGTGAAGAAGGAATCCGTTGCCCTTCCTACACCGGGAGCCATGCCAAGACGCTGAGGACTAGAGACTTGGAGCGACTTATGGACCAAGATGGGAATTTTACTATAAAAAAAAAATCCTACGGGGCCGGCGGAACTCCACGCCACAAGGATCTCGACAGGAAGTCAAAACCGATGAACTCTCGTTTACGAAGGGACTATTTTGCTTGATTAATTTATGGCCAATGATTAATTTATGGAGACGGGCAGGGAAGTTTCGTAGCAGGAGAAAGAGACTAATACGACTCCGGAGAGGAAGAATCGAAGGCGGGATTATTATTATTTTTTTTTAAAAAAGAGTTCGTTCTGCGTCGATTTCGGACGTAAAAAGAGGACCGAGAGATTCTGGCCTTCCCCATTTTTTTCCTTTCCCCTCTTAATTAAAAAAAAAAAAAGCATTCCCGAGAGGCCAACTTTGGAAGACATGAAGGAATGGAATAAATTAAATTCAAATTTTAATTTTTACCGCCTTTCGCCCCGCTTTTCTTTCTATAAATGTTCCTGGTTCCCCCAAGCAACCCAAATCCTAAATTCTTAATTGGAACGTAAATAAATAGGAAAGAAAAAAAATATGTGTCTCCCCGGCATTGCAGAACCCTGAAAGGGACCCTCAGAGGTCATCTAGACCAGGGCCCCCCAACCTTTCGGACCTCAGGAGCCGCCGAATTCATAATTTTAAATCCCGCGGATCCATTCATACGATCTGCCTAAGGGCTGGCTGGGTGGGCGTGGCAAGGTGGTCACGTGAGTGAGTGGGCGTGGCCAATTCGATGTCACTCACGTCGAGGGGCGCCTCGCCGGCCTCTACTCGCCCCTCCCCTCCCAGCCCCTCCTCGCCTGCCCGCCCGGGGCTCCTTAGGGCCCCAACAGGAAGCCGTTGCTGGAGCTAAGCAGCCCCCAGGAGAAACAGTTGGCAAAAGAGTTGAGTTCAAATTGGATCTGGCCAAGAAGGAGGCTCAGCAGAGGCACCTCACTGAGGACTAGAA